TTTGTATGCATCATTTTTCTTTAGATAACAGTTTTCTATAAACATTCTATTTGATTTCAAACTATTTTAATACTTATAGATAGCAACATATGTATTCCAAAGATCATCTGTCTGCTCCCGAAAAGAAAGCTTGAATGTCCTACATAGTTTATAAAGTGATAGTTTGCCATTAACAGAAATAGAATTCTTTTTCTGTGTGGCTCAAATTCATTGCCTGCTGGAAGGCAGCTTAGAGCCCTTCAGTCTCCACCTCAGAGCTGGAAATGGCCTTGAGTGAATGGCAGTTCACAGGTTAACAGAATCTAAGGTTGAGGTCTTATCTTTAGACACTGGTCGTTCATTTACAAAAAAACAGAAAATGTGACCATATATTTCTCAAATTGATCCCTAAGTATGTGGATTACTTCTTTTCATTCTTAACCCTCTCTAGTAAACACTGTGGCATATAAGAAGTTGCAATCATTGTTGAGGAATGTTAAAAGACTGCAAAACTGTGAGTAATGTCTCAATATTTTCAATATCCTAACAAACCCTTCAAAGGTAAGCAAACTATTGTCAAGGCCAAACTACCTGAGCTAATAACTATGTTTGTTAATAAAGTTCTGTTGGAATACAGCCACACCCACTCGTTAAAGTATTTTCAATGGCTGCTCTCTATAATAGCAGAGTTCATGTGGCTTGCAAACCAGAAACATGTACTCTCTACCCCAAACTAGAAAGCCTTGGGCCAGAGATTTAGCTCAGTGGTTCTGGTGCCTGCCTCATAGCCTTGTAGGCATACGGTCCCGAGTTCAATCTCCAGTACTAAAAAAAAAAAGAAAGAAAGCCTTCTAAGAACTCCAAAACCCTTGTGTAAAGGAGAACAGAAAGGGGAAGGAGGAGAAGGAGGAATAGGAGAATAATTAGGAAGAAGAAGAGGAGAAGAAGAGCAGACAGAGGGAGAGGAAGAAGAATGATGAAGAAGAGGAGGAGGAGGAGAAAGAGGAAAAAGAAGGAGAAAAGAAAGAGGAAGAAGGACAGGAAGAAGAGGGAGAAGATGAAGCAGAAGGGGAGGAAGGAGAAGGAAGAGGAATGAAGACAAAAGAGGAGGAAAAGAGGAAAGAGGAGGAAGAAAGGGAGGAGGAGGATCAGCAGCAGCAGCAAGAGGAGGTTAAAAAACTTGCTAAACAACTTCACTGGGCAAAGGGATTTGGTGAGGGGTTTGGTGGAAAAGGGAGACATTCTGACATTTGTGCCACAGTAGCAAAAGTCATAACTGACATCTCCAGAATGAGGATACAAAACTTATAGCAATTCTTAAACATTTAACTGCTTCACCTATAATGCAGGATAGGGGTTGGTCTAGATGACCTTAAGTTCTTCAAACTTCAGGATTGTCTGAAATGACTTAAAACCATAAGCAAGCTAGGTCTGGTGGTGCACACCTGTAATCCCAGCACTCAGGAGGCTGAGGCAGGAGGATCACAAATTTGATGTAGCCTGAGGTACATACTGAGTTTCATGCCAGTCTCAACTATCTAGTAAGACCCTGTCTTGATAAACAAACAAACAAACAAACAAAATAAAACCATAAGCAAACCTAGAGCTATGAGTATACAACACAATAATAAATGTCTCATAGCACCTTCCCAAGGTGAGAGGAGGAAAATAATAACATTTTAGAAAAACAGAAGCCAAAATGGTTAGATAAGGGTATGCGAAAGTTCTCTTCAATACTCTTGAAAGTTTTCAGTGAATTTGAAATCATAATAAAATAAAAATTAAAACAATTTTAGATCTTAGCAATTAAAAGGAAAAGCTTCAATTACCTTCTTTGACAAACAAAGTTAATACAATAACTGCCACGGTGGATCTGTAAGACATGTAAACCAGTATGTCCACTGAATGAAGCATGTTGGAGACCACAGTCTAACCTTACTCCTATAATTCTGCATCCTAAAGTCCTAGCTTACAAGTTTCTCTTATCTTGTGGAAAACAAGCTAGCTCATAATTAAAAGGATCATGGGCATGTAAGACACCAAAGAAGCCCAGAATGGTGAGAAGGGTAAGATGGGAAAAGAAGCGATGAAGGAAAGGAAAGGATGGGAGAGAAGGGTAATATGAATAAAGGGGCCCCATTAATCAACAAACGAGATAAACATATTCCAAAAGACCACAAGTCTATCAGTCCTATCTGATCTTTTCTTTGGCAGAACAGGAAGCTGACTCACCTGAAGTACTTGACTCTTACACACTATATGTATCTCACACACACACACACACACACACACACACACACATATATATTCCAAAAAGAAATGTGAATTTTTTTCTTAAAATACAAACCCTAAGCAGAAATTATGCTAACTGAAAAAAGTGCCTAGAGAGCTACATACATGCATGTTTGTTAAATATAGAAACTAAGCATAATGAGAATCATTATCTCCAGTTTCCAAGGATACCAGGATAAGCACTACTCCTAAATTGCAGTTCATTCAACAAAGGGTGCAGAGCAATTTATATTCAGGGTCATCCCTGGCTGACAGCAGATGTAGGAGGAGGACCAGGGTAAATTACCCTGTTTGTTCGATTCTATTTGTTACCGACCACTTCACAGCCCCTGACCTCCATCCTCTGGTCCCAGCCCTGGCCAATATTTTATATGAAAAATTTGTAAAATGTGATTGTACATCTTCCAAGAGGAGAAAAAGTTCATATAAGGCAGGGCGGCACAGATTTGGTTAATCCTGGGAGTGGGGTGAGAAAAGCAGAAGAGGCTGGTTTTGTATATCTTTTACATAGTGCCTAGAAGAGAACCATGCAGCTAATGTCAACTTCCAACCCAGCCAAGGCTATGCCAGGCTTTGGAACTTCCCACAAGCCACACTACCTACACTGCCATGGTCTCTGGAATCAGATTCATCTCCAACTCATTCTATCCTCTAAAGCCTTTTACCTGTATCTTTTATAATGAGTGCTTCCTTCGTGTTTTTTTATGGCAATGAAAATATAAAAACTACTTCCTGTCAACTTAGCAGATACTGCTTCTCAATCATTTATTTGTTTGTTCAAGACTATTTGTTGACTGCTTTCACTTTGGCCAGCGTTTGTGCCAGGGCAAGTGAGTAGTGACAAGTAGTAGGAGACTCCACTGGGGCTCAGTAGGCGAACATCACTCACAAACAGTCCAAAGGGAGGCGTTCTCCCTCTTAATCAAATTGTCACTTACAAAAATACTGATGTAGCTTTTGTACATACTTTTAAATTCGTTTTAAAATCACAGAAAATATATATAAAATATGGTTAAGATATAATAGCAATTTAGTATTTATGTAGTTTCAAACCCATCTCTGTCTACTCACTACAGTAAGACCTCCCAGGTAGCACCTGGTACCTGTTAGGGAAGAGGAGCTCGGTCTTCAAACGTTTCCCCCCGGATGGATATGGGACAGTGTGCCTGGCTAAGCTTCTTAGCTTGATGTGATAATACACGAGAATTAGCTACTTTGATAATGAACGACTAGGACCTCCCTGCTTTTGCACCAGTTACATCAGTTGATACTGTTTGCTGTTTTAAAGAACTGAAAGAGTATAGCAAAGGTCCCTAATAGTTACGGAACATATACAATATATATCAATAAGACAAGCTAATTTACTATTAACTGTTCATAGGAAAATGCAGTATGTGCCTTCCTACATACTCCTGGTCTCATACATTATACATGACCGGAAATCACATATAGACATACTGTCATGAAGATGTCAATATAGCCCCATCTTCTCTTTTCTTCACACTCATTTTTTAAAATTAAAAGGTTGTTCCTAAATCCAAAAAATTAGCAAATTTTAAAACTATTTAAAAACTATATGAAATGAGAAGTTTGTCTCAATTCTCTTAAAAGTCACATCAGTAGTTATTTTGGTGTATTATTCTGACACCATTTCTCACAGGGGCAACATTTTGAGGTAAGATGGCTCAGAAAAGATTCTACATCTCAATCCTGAAGCGTCGAAAATGCTAAAATTGCAAAAGTTTAATTAAGTAGGTCACTATTTAATTTTTTCCCAGGCCCATGCAGGGCTAGTGCTTGGTCGAGCAAAAACAGGCGCGTTGGTAGGTATATCGCCAAGCACAGAAAGCACTCACAAGTCACTGGTTGAAAAGTCATCCACGGTTTTAACTTTTTTTTTTTTTTTGATAACCTAGGTTAGCTTTCACAGACCTCTGAAAAGACAGAAGCCAGCTTACATTAAGCAACATAATTGTATTCCCTACTTGTGCGTATTCAAGTTAGAAAAGAAAAGTTTCAGCATTGAAAGTACCCTACCCATCAATTCAGAAGCCTAGAATTTGGACGGGAGCCACCTGGATTCCTGGGTGTAGAAACCCCAGATGCTTGCCCCCCCCCCCATTATTCTAACATCTAAATTATGGTCCTGTGTATTGCACATGTCTTCGAAAATATACTTTCTAGTAGCTCACCTGTCCATGTCTTTTTAAACTAGAAAGTGTCCAATTGGCAATCCTCGAACTATAAAGAAAGCTAAGACGCCCCTGAGCGCTTTCACAGAACGTTAAAAAGTGCATGCATGACAACCAGAAAGGGATCCTGTTTTGCCACGGAGGCCAGACCAGCGTCCCCGCGCAGGTCCGGGGTAGCTCAGACGGTGGGCCCAGCTCCGAGACCTCCAGCCTCCACCCGTACCCCCTCTCGGGGAGGCTGCCTGCAGCGGGGACCACAGTTGTCCCGGTGCCGTCTGCCCATCCAGGGGGTGTGGCTGGGTGGTGGTGCGGAGTGGAGGTGACACAGTATCTTTCAGAGTTGCAAGGGTAGAGCGAGTGGAAGGAGGCTGCCCCAGGCTGCTCTCGGCTGCGGCCGGCGGAGGCGCAGCTGGGGGCGCCCCGGCGGTGCGTCGGGGTCCCCGGGTCCCGGGATGGTCATACGGGGCTGCGCGGGGGGCGAGGGGCACGCGGGGAGGTGGCGGAGCGGGCAGTGCTCCCTCGGGGAGGGGCGCTCACCTATGCACAGCTGGATGGCGTAGGCGTAGTAGGACCAGCCCAGCAGCAGGCTGATGAACACCACCGGGATCCAGTAGAGCACCCGCCGGCACCGCCGCCTGACGCTGCCCGGGCCCGAGGGAGCCATCTTCCAGCCGCAGCAACCTGCCCAGCTCCGCCGCCGCCGCCGCCCGCGGGCCTGGCTCCGGGACGGGCTTGCGGCGCCCGGAGCCCCCGGCGGGACGGGGCCGGGGGCGGCGGCCGGTTGCGCTGCGGCCACTGCGGCCGCCGTGGCGCTAGGTTCCCATCCTGCAGCCAAGAGCCGGCGCGGCGGACTCCAGACTCCTCAGCCGGGCGGTGGCGGTGGCGGTGGCGGTGGCGGCGGCTGCAAACGAGGACTAGGAGGTGGCGAGGGAGGGAGGCGGCGGGAGGCGGCGGGAGGCTGCGCTCCGCCCCCGCCCGTTCCCTCCCCGGCGCAGCCGTGGCGCCCCCCGGCGGGCTTTCTGGGCACCCGGGGTCCTGCGGACGCGCGCGCCTCTCGCCCGGCACCTCGGAGGGCGCCCGCCTTGGCCCGGTTGCCCCTGCTCTTGACCCCTGCTCTTGATTCTGGGTGAGCCGGAGAAAGCGGGGGTTCAGGGCTGCTCGGTGGCCGTCGCTTGGGTGCGGGTCGGGAGCGAGGGCGACCCTCCCGAGGCGCCCGGCGCTCCGATCAGTGGGGAGCGGAACGTCACCCTAGGCGCGGGCACGCGCAGGGCGAGGAAGCCAGGGTGAGCCCCACACTTCCCGGGCCGGGACCCGACCCCGCGTCTGCCCGGGGCCAGCAAGGGAGTGTGTTGCCCACCGCAGGGATGCGCGGCCAGAAAGTCTGTAGGCGCCGAGGCAGCGTCCCTGCAGCCTGCTTGGCAGATGTCTGCTTCAACTTGCGGGCGCCGGCCAACCGGCGGAGGGCAGCGAGGGCGCGGCCAGTTCCGAGCCCGTGGAAGGATTTTGCGTGGCCCTTAGAAACCTGCTCTACTACGCGGACTGGGGCCGAGATGTGCCAGTGAGGGGTCTCGGAGTTGTCTTCTGCATGGGAGGGGCTGCGGAGTGAAGAAGCATGTTGAGTTGTGAATCCAGAGACCGCTAGAGTTAGTAACAGTTTACTTACTCGGAGAATTTTAACTCTTGTTAATGATGTAGCAAGAGCAACCATTCTCATTACCCCTCCAAAGAGCAGGTGGTTCCTTCCGTGTACTCCTCCCCTCTGTTCCTCACTGCAACGTTTTCTTTTGTGGTGAAACTTAGCAGGCAGCTGATTCTAAAGTGGTTGCTAAAAACACTGGAAATGATCCTAACGATAGTTTATGATTGATGAACAGGAAAAAATAAAAATGGTTCTAAAATTTCTTTTTTTTTTCTTCCTGGTTCATTTGATAATGAACTCACCTGATTCCACAGAGAAACACAACAGTGTAATGTATATGAATTATATACATAATTAGTACATATAATAGGCACAAATTTACTTAGCATTAGGGAATATGTATATTTACACTACAGAGCAACCCTATTGGGTGAAATTACCTCATAGTCATGTGTAAAGTTCTAATTAACAGGAATTCAGTCGAATCAATTAAACTGTCGTGTCTTTGGGATTATCTATCCGTAACTGGATTAAACAGCAAGCAAATCTCTCCTAAAATAGCTACATCTCTCTCTCTCTCTCTCTCTCTCTCTCTCTCTCTCTCTCTCTCACACACACACACACACACACACACACGCACACACACACACACGCACGCACTTAACTTTTCACTTGTTTAAAAAATGCATAGAAAATACCAGTCAGGTTTAAACCATTGAAATGAGAAAAGTTTTGTCCACTGCATCACTGTATTTTGACATAGCATTTAAATTATTTCTGCATATTCTGTAGGGTAGATTTTTGTAACATAACTTCCTTGGAAGCCTTGGCCTTTCCCATGGAAATCAGTCTTGGATTCCAATCAGAATAAACTAAGGGGGTGGGATGTAGCTCAGTGGTAAAGCATGCTTAGCATGTGTGAGGCCTTGGACCCAATCCCCAGCACCAATAAATGCATAAATAAATAAAACTAAGGACAAGAAGTAGACATCCCTATCAGGATTGAATTTCCTTCCCAGAGATGAGCTACTCAGTGACTGAGGGTAGGTGGAGACTACCAAAGAATAAAAAGGGGTCGAATTCCTCATACAGGACCCCCAGAGAATCTGCTAATTGTGCCTCTTTTGATACCAGACGCTGCAATGCCCTGTGCTGCTCCTCTTCTAACAGCGTCACAGGGCTTTAGGCCAGAAATGGAAGAGCATTCTGCAATTTTCACATCTTCAGCCTTCTGGAAGAAGATGCAGGCATAACATCTTCGATAGAGGCCACATTTTTATCACTCATCTAAAATGTTATTTAATTGTTCATATTTACAAAAATATTTGGACTATTTTAACCTTTTTGCCATTCTAAGGTTATTATTACTAGTGAGTTATGTAAGTACATTCATTCTAAAGAAGGACAGAAAGAAAGAAAAGAAAGGTCTAGTAGAGGAAGAATGATCTCTAAACCCACACAATGACAGGATTTATCTTTACATAGTCTGTAGACAGGCATAAACATGGTCAGGGGCCAATCTCCAGATTCCAGACTTTGATGTGAGTGGGAAGATAACTTTTATTTTTAGGAATAAAAAGCCTTGGATTCTTTCCTCCTTAAAGAAAATAGATGTATACATCAACAGGAAAAAAAACCCCACTAAAGGTCATAGACAATTAAGAAGAAACTTTACTAGAGATGATTTAGAAGTCTCTAGACTCTTCTAGAGTCTTTAGAGTAGTTTAGAAGTTTACTAGAGAAGCTTGTAGAAGTTTCAACTCACCAATTTGAAGTTAGTCAATATTTATAAGAAATTGTGGGTTTCATATACAACTATGATAAAATGAATATGGCCACTTATGGAGAAGAGAGTCCACCACAACAAAGGAGGGAAAGGGTAACACCAAGGGAAAGAAGAGAGAAGGGGCAGCCAGGCAAGAGGAGGGTGAAGGACACAGCTGAGAAGGGAGAAGAGCCCCTCACCTGGTCCACCCAGGTTCTAATCATAACTCCATCCTTAATAGGTCTCTGCTTTGATACTCCATCCACTCACAAGTTTATCTAAGTCATTCACCTATCAAAAATTTAAAATTTCTTTGTTCAGATCCTACTCGCATGAAGAAACCATCACCCCCTTCCTCTTCCTCCAGCTCATTCCCCGATTCATCAGTACCCAAACTTTAACTCTTGCTTCCATGGTTAGTTAATACTACAAATCATCCTCCTACTTCTACATCCAGATTAAAATTTTCACTTACTTCCTTGCCAAGTACGAATTGAGATACAAATTTCAACCAAGCCCAGGGAGCCATGGACTCACCTTGTCTGTAGGGAGGATAGACCTCCATTAATGGTAGCTGTGCCAACCTCATCTCAGCCTTTTAGCCACACCATCTACCCTTATTGAATTTATTAGATCACTTACTTGATATTTACTCCCTCCTTTTGGAAGAGAAACCGCATAATAAGAAATTACTTTTGAAGTATAAAGTCAATTTTATTGCTCTCGGATATGTGAAAGATTGTGTAGATGCTGCCAATAGAGTGTGGTACTTGACAAATTTTAGAAGGATTAGAAGGAATGAAGCTAAGTTATAATCTACTCTTATTCACTCAAGACTCTCATCCTTATTAGACATACCTGCAAAAATGCTGCTAGATTCTCTTTCATTCTTTTTCTTTTTTTCCATTTTCTTTGTTAGTGCATGTTTGCAGTCCATAATGTTTACATTCCCTGTGTGGAGTTGGTATATAACACATCTTAATTTCTTTTTTTCATCCCCTTTCCCTTCTCTCCCTCCCTTCTTATCACTTTTTTGGGAAAAAAATTCCTTAAAAGCCAGAAATCTATGATATCAGCAACTCATGTTTTCACATTTATGAGGGATAAAGTTATTCTCTGTGGGAGAATAGCATGACCAAACCACATGTTTCTGGACACATGTAAAATAAAAGCTGTCTTAGAGATCTTACTTTAGGGAATGTGGGAATGAAATAATCTTTAGACATGGTTTGGCTTTCAAAGATCTATGTTTGAAATTAACCCTGAATGGAAGTGCATAGAGTGAAAGATAATTTTAAAGGCCTAAGGATGTTTCACTGTATAGTTGATTGGGTTAAAACATTGGAAAATTTGTAAAGTGGGGCAAATCGGCAGACTTTGCCTTTCAAGCTTGCTTTCTACCAGAGTGTTACTGTATTCTGTCACTAGATGGCAGGCGCACACCAAGCAGTGCAGGTCTCCTGACATTTTTATAGATTAAATAGCATCAACCATGAATTTAACCAAGGCAATTATAAATTATAATTAATGATCAATTACATATAATTATAGCTAATTACAATCATGCTATAATTATACAGTTTTATATTATACTGACTAATGATTAATAAAAATATCAACTATTCAGGGAGTTAAAGAAAAAAATCCTGTATAGCAAATCATTCTGACTTTGCTCTCATTTATTTACAGTTTGAACTGAAGTTAACCTTTCTGAAAATAAATTGGAATTTATATTGAAATATTTTTGCCTACCCTAAATGGGAAGGGGCAGAGTCCATGAATTCAAAAGGTGGAGTTTTTAGAGGTGATACAATGGCACCAGTTTAATATGAAATTATTAGAAGCAGTCACTTTGGAGTTGAGAGCTCTTGGCCAGCAGTGACCAAGGACAACAGAATCCTTCAGGACAGTGGCAAATGTCCAGCGGTGTGAAGGCCAACAGCAGAATCCTAGACAGACTCTTCTTGATGGCAGCCTCTTGGCCATGCACCTGCTTCCTTTGTTCCAAGCTTGAATCTTCAGGCATTTGACTCTGTGGGGTGCCTGCATACCTGCAGAAACTGTTTTTTTCTGTAATTCAACTACAGTTGACTTGTGCTTGCAACTTGGGCACAATTTTAATTCCGTTCTCCATCTTATTTTTTTTCTTAAATTCTTTTATTGGTACATTTTAGGTATACAGTACATTTACATTCTTCATTGGGAACTTGTACCTTTACGTGATGTATCTTGGTTCTTATTTTTTCCCCATTCCCCTGCCTTCCCTTCAACCCCTCCACCCTTCCCTATTTACAAAGACATTTTTCCTTTTCT